AGAATCGTCGCGATCGGAGCAAGAACAAGAAAGTTACGAACGTTGGAGTTCGTATGCTTTCTGTACTTTGGTTGCGGCGACTATGGGAACTTGTTGGGTTGACTCAATATGGGGTATAGACTTTTGGGGTTGGGAAATTCGGTCCCATCACTGTAGATGCTGCCATGTGGTTGGGAGAAGCCAAACCAGGTTGGCAAGTGTGGCCAAGTGGGAGTGAGGTGAATCAAGGAGGTTGGGAAAATGACAAGGGTGAAAGTTGGGTTGCATGTTGAGAGGGAAATTGTGTGGCATGGGGTTTCCTTGGTTGGGAACTCCCTTGGGACCTTCCCTCTTGTCCTCCTCTTCCCTCCCACCTGGTTTAGTGCTACCCTATCTTTCTTGTGTGCAACTTGTGGAACTTGTGAGTTAATTGCGATTGAGTTAAATTTTCTGTGGCAGCATACCCCCCTGTGCGCCGAAACGCATAACTCATGATTTAGTTCACAATTTGACGTGATTCAACTTGGGAATTGTAGCCACGGTCTAGAGCTACAACATACTTGGTTTTCGTGAGATTTTAACGGTGAACTTTTTGGCGACGACGTTTCTTGTGAAGTCGCGGTTTCTGTCCAGAGTTATAAACCAACGATTTTGTGATATTTCGGCCTCTATTCTTCATAGGCTCCGTCCTTAGTCTCTAACAAGTGGTATCAGAGCTGATTGAGGACGTTGCAAAGAGTCTACTAAGATGTGAAGACCCTCCTAGACCCACCATGGCCTGTGGGCGTGCCTAAGTGGAGTTCTAGAGGTTGGATGTGACTTCCGCTAAGGGGAAACTCTGCCGAAATTTCGTTGGCGCCGACACTTGTGAAGATTGTAAGGATCTACATTGTGACCAGCAAGGGGGGAGCTGAAACCTCTGATTGGGAGCTGAGAAGAGTCAAGGGAGTGGAGAAGCTGCTGAGAAGAAGAGCGAGCCGCCACCATCCAAGATTGAGGCGTTGGATGGCTCCAATTATGAAGGAGAGGAGACTGCACCAACTACTGGGGCCCTGGATGCAGTCAAGAAGGTGCAGCAGCCACAGCAATCATATGATGAGGTGCTTGCGGGTGTGGATGCAACGCCTGCATGGGCAAAGGCTTCATCCGGGAGTGCTGAGGTCGATTGGGAGATGTGGCACGAGAGGTTGTGCCACATCAACATTCCGATGCTGCAGAAGTTGGTGAATGATGAGAGCTTGAAGGGATTGGAGGTGAAGGGGGCAGCAAAGGAGATTGGGAGCTGCCCTACATGCCTTGAGACGAAATTCACCAAGTTCCCTTTCAGCAGCAGCACGGGACCAGCCAAGGCACCGCTCGCGCTTGTGCATATGGATGTGGTGGGCCCCACGAGGGCCCTTTCTCTCTCGGGCAGCCGCTACTTCTTGACCATTGTGGACGACCACACGCGTGCGGTGTGGGTCTACCCTCTCAAGACTAAGGGGGAGGTGGCAGCGGCTGTACTTAAGGAGTGGATGCCGAGAGCACAAAGGGAGAGCGGACACAAGGTGAAGGTGATCCGCACCGACAACGGGGGAGAGTTCATTGGCGCTGATTTTGAGGCGGTGCTGAAGAAGAAGGGGATCCAGCATCAGCTCACAGTGCCCTACAACCCTCAGCAGAATGGCGTGGCTGAGCGGTTCAACCGGACCTTGCAGGAAGGTGCTCGCACTCTCCTTGGGCGTGCAGGGCTGCCGGATCCGTTTTGGGTGACTGCACTGAGGCAGGTCGTCGTTGTGAAGAACAGGGTGCTGGCGACTGTGGGGGACAAGCAGTGGGTCCCCTACACCAAGTGGTATGGGAGTGCACCAGCGGTCAACATGCTGAGAGCGTTCGGCTGCATGGTGGTGTTTCATGTGCCGAAGGAGAAGAGGGGAAAGCTGGAAGCTTCTGGGAGATGGGGTGTGCACTTGGGACTTGCAAGTGAAAAATCACAAGGGCTGGTTGATTTGGGACTTGACCAGCCAGCAGCTGACTGTGTCGAGGGATGTGAAATTCCTCGAGTCCTTGTACTACAAGGAGTGGAAGCAGCAGCAACAGAAGCTTCCTACGACACCGCTGATCATTGAGGCCGATGAGGTGCAGCGGCCTTCAAGGCAGGTGGAAGTCTCCGTTGCGGGGGAGGATATCTCTGGGGTGACTGAGGATGGGGGAGAACCTGAGGTGGAGGAGCAGCAGCAACAGCAGCCGCAGCAGCAGCAGCAGCAGCAGCAGCAGCCACCGCAGCAGCAGCAGCAACGTGAGGCTGAACGTCCTAGGAGGGATGTGCGTCCTCCTAACCGGCTTACCTACCCGAGCTTTGGGAAGCCAAAGGTGGTGCGGGCTGGGAGTGTGGCTGAGCAATGCGATGAGGAGGAGATAGCGCACTGCTACTGGGCAGCCGTCCCTGAGCCCAAGACTCTTACCGAGGCCTTAAGTGGGCCCGATGCTGAGAAGTGGAAGCAGAGTGTGAAGGAGGAGTACGACTCTCTACTGGAGAACGAGACGTGGGAGTTGTGTGAGCTGCCTCCTGGGAAGAAGGCCATTTCTTCCAAGCTGATTTTCAGGCACAAGTACGGACCTGATGGGGAGCTGACCCGCTACAAGTCAAGGCTTGTGGCTAAGGGGTTCCAGCAGACAAAGGGCAAGGATTTTGACGACATCTTTGCTCCTGTGGGGAAAGGGACAACACTGAGGACGATGTTGGCAATGGCTGCAAACCGTGGATGGAAGATCAAGCAGATGGACATCATCACTGCCTTCCTCAACGGGATCATCTTGGAGGAGCTGTATACGCTGCAGCCTGAGGGGCTGGATGATGGGAGCGGCAGGGTGTGCAGGCTGAAGAAGGCCATCTATGGCCTGAAGCAGGCTCCTCGCGCATGGTACCACAAGCTGGAGGAGACACTGCTGGCTGGGGGATTCAAGAAGAGCGAGTGTGATCACAGCCTGTTCCTGCTGCAAGAGAAGGAGCAGTTTCTCATGCTCCTGGTGTACGTGGATGACATTCTTCTTTTCTCCGAGTCATCTGCGATGATTGAGCATGTGGAGGAGATGCTGGAGATGCAGTTCAAGTGCTCGAAGATGGGAGATGTGAAGTACTACCTGGGGATGCATGTGGAGAGAGACCTTGACAAGGGAGTGTTGAGGTTGCACCAGAGGAAGTACTGTGAGGGGCTGGCAGATAAGTATGGGCTGCAAGATGGAGGGAAGCCAGCCACCCCACTGCCTTCGGGGTTCACTGTGGAGCCCTGTGCTGATGAGGAGGTGGTGGGAGAGAGTGACAGGAAGCTGTTTCATTCCATGGTTGGGGCGCTCAACTATGCGGCTAACCACACGCGGCCTGACATTGCGTTTGCTACATCCAGGCTTGCGAGTGTGGTGTCACGTCCCAGTCATGCGGAGCTGGAAGCGGCCAAGAGGTTGGTCCGCTATGTGAGCGCAACGGCATCAGTGGGATTGGAGTACAGTGCTGTGCGACAGAGGCTGCAGAGGGGTGCAGCTGATTTGAGCAAGGGGGAGATGCGCTTGACTTGCTACACCGACGCCAGCTTCAACTCTGTGAAGGCGGATGGCACCAGCATTGGAGGCTATGTGTGCCTCTTTGGAGGTGGTGCAGTGAGCTGGCGTAGCAAGAAGCAGAACGAGGTGGGGCTGTCCTCGTGTGAGACCGAGTACATGGCCCTTCATCATGGGGCAAAGGAGGTGGTGTGGCTGAGGCGTTTGTTGGAGGAGATTGGTGTTGGTCAGAGGGAGCCAACTATGATTTTCTGTGACAATGAGTCAACAGTGAAGCTGGCCAAGAATGCCTGTCTTCATGGGCTGACCAAGCACATCAGGCCCAAGTGGCATTGGACAAGGAGGCTCCTGGACAAGGAGGTGCGACTGGAGCTTGTGAAGACCCAGCAGCAGGCGGCTGATATTCTCACCAAGCGACTGGCAGAAACTGAGCATTGGAAGGGCATGAAACTTGCTGGGATGAGTGTGCATTGAGGGTGCATGCTTGAGCTATGGCATGTGGGATGATGGTTGGCAGCCAGAGGGGGAGTTTGTTGTGTGATGCTATCATTCGCATTCACGTCTGTCTGCCTCCCATCATATGTTCGTGCGTTGCATCCATGGTGTGAGCGTGTGAAAGAATTAGTGTTTTGTGCGGTTTGGATTTTCTGAGTGTGTGTGAATGTTATTTGGCTTGAGCAGATATCTGAAATGATTCATCTGCTCAAGAGCTTTCCGACGAGCCAAGAATCGTCGCGATCGGAGCAAGAACAAGAAAGTTACGAACGTTGGAGTTCGTATGCTTTCTGTACTTTGGTTGCAGCGACTATGGGAACTTGTTGGGTTGACTCAATATGGGGTATAGACTTTTGGGGTTGGGAAATTCGGTCCCATCACTGTAGATGCTGCCATGTGGTTGGGAGAAGCCAAACCAGGTTGGCAAGTGTGGCCAAGTGGGAGTGAGGTGGATTTGGGAGGTTGGGAAAATGACAAGGGTGAAAGTTGGGTTGCATGTTGAGAGGGAAATTGTGTGGCATGGGGTTTCCTTGGTTGGGAACTCCCTTGGGACCTTCCCTCTCGTCCTCCTCTTCCCTCCCACCTGGTTTAGTGCTACCCTATCTTTCTTGTGTGCAATTTGTGGAACTTGTGAGTTAATTGTGATTGAGTTAAATTTTCCGTGGCAGCATACCCCCCTGTGCGCCGAAACGCATAACTCACGATTTAGTTCACAATTTGACGTGATTCAACTTGGGAATTGTGGCTACGGTCTAGCGCTACAACATACTTGGTTTTTGTGAGATTTTAACGGTGAACTTTTTGGCGACGACGTTTCTTGTGAAGTCGCGGTTTCTGTCCAGAGTTATAAACCAACGATTTTGTGATATTTCGGCCTCTATTCTTCATAGGCTTCGTCCTTAGTCTCTAACACATTTAAGCTCAGAGAAAGGAATAGGCTGTTGCAGAGTTGAAGACGAAGCGCAAGCGCATGTAACTTTTGAGTCGACTCAAAACTCACAGGGTGCTTGATGGCTTGGACCCAGGCGGGGATGGAGAGGGTGTGGTGGTGCATGCGCATGTAGGCATCTGAGTCGAGGAAGAAAGCCCACTCGCAGCAACACGCCAGCTGCTCCTGTAGCAACGGCACCTGCAGTAGGCCGTGCAGGAGGGGCAGAGGGTGAGGGGAAGGTGGTTGGCGGCGCTCGTGCTTACATTGATGGCGGCACATGCCAGCCAGGTTGAGGTGCAGGCCATGCAGGGGGGCAGAGGATCAAGGGAGCAGGGAGGCAGGGCGGGGGTGCAGTTAATGAGGGAACATTCTTTCAGGCGGGTAGAGGTGGTTAGGGCGCGTGTCTTTTGGTGTAGATTGTCAAAGTTCGAGCCTAGTACCGCTTTGTAACGTGGCGACACGTTTCTCAAATGTATCCTACCGCATACAACCTTTCAAAAAGTTCAACTTTTGGCCAAAGTTCAACCTCAAGGACACGCGCCCTTAGATGCTCACGCATGAGGTGTGAGGAGTCGTGAGGCACACTGCATTCCCCGATGAGTGCGAGCTCATTGGTGGCAGCTCATTGGTGGCAGCTTATTGGTGGCAGCTTCTTGTTGGCAGCTTATTGGTGGCAGCTTATTGGTGGCAGCTTATTGGTGGCAGCTTAACTCATGCAAGCTCACAGGTGAGGGTGGGGATGACACTGCAGTTTGGAAGTGCCACACACGGGCAGCAGCACGAGATACAGAGAGTATGGGTGGTTCACAGCCACAGTGGAAAGCCGATGCATGGGTGGTGGGGAAAGGCAGGGCGAGTAGTGTGTGTTCCCCCATAGCTTGGGTGGCAACCCCCTCACCTTGAACCATGATGGATGTCGATCCGGAGTGTACTTGGATCCGTTCTCCGTCACCATCCGGTACCCGTGGCGCCGCGCGTACAACCTGACAGGGAGATGAAGGGGATACAAGGGGAAACTTTGGTTTCCCCTCATGTGAAGCAGATGCAGAGATGGGCGTGCCGTGATTCTATGGTGCAGAACAGAGACGTGGAATCTTCATGTCGCCCTCCTGTGCACGGAGTGCATGCCATTACTCAATCTAAGTGCAACACACACGCTCTGGTTAACCTGGGTTACTACCATGTCGCATGGACATATAGATGCACTGTCACACATACACACACACTTCTCACATACACGCTGACACGATTGCAGACAGGCACATATACTGTTGACACATAGGCACATGTTCACACAGCAGCATATATGTTGACACAGCAGCACATGCGCACATGCTGTCACAGCAGCACATACTCACATGTTCACACACACATGCTCATGCTCACACGCACATGCTCACACTCACATGGTCACACGCACATGTTCACACTCACATGGTCACACGCACATGTTCACACACACACGTTCACACGCATATGTTCATACGCACACGTTCACATGCACATATGGCATCGTCCGCTGGTATGTTTTCAACCCAAGCACCTTGGTGTTTGAGTTTTGCGCATGCCTACTACACCACACACACGCATGCCTACTACAGCACGCACGCACATGTTGACGGCCAGGGCGACCCAGATGGGGAATTTCCACATGTTCTCGTGCCCCTCCGCGTCCACCACCTTGGGCAATGCCTCGTACAACCGCCCCCACGCCTCTGGCATCGCCTCCCCGCCCCTCCCTCCCCCTTCTTCCTTCACCTTCGAGTCATCATCTTCATCCTTCCCCTCCCCTTTCCCCTCGTCCTTACCCTCCACGTTCCCCTCACCATCGCCCTCCCCCTTTCCCCTCTCCGCCTTCTTGCCCTCCCCGTTTAGCCCCCCTTCCCCCTCCCTTTCCCCCGTGCCTTCCTCTTCTCCCTTCAGCCGCCTCCCCCTCAATCCTCCATGCAACCTTCCCTCCCACTCTCCGGCCCTTTCCTTCAAACGTCTCCTTTTACCATCCCTCACCCCCTCCCCACCCCCTTCCCTACCCTTTCTCCGCCTAACCCCTCTCCCCTTATCCCCTCTCCGCCTATCCCTTTCCCCCCTCTTACGTCTCCCACTCTCTCCCCTTCCCCCACCTCTTCCGCTGCCACCCCCAGCTCCCTCAGCAGCCGCGCTACAGCCGCCTCCACGGCCTGCACGCCCTCAGGGCTGTAGCGCGAGTCGAGAGTCAGAATGCACCCCGGCCGTGGGGGGGCCTCCTCCCACTCCACTGCCGGCAGCGACTCCATTGGGAAGAAATTCCAAAGCTGTAGGCTGTCCAGCCAAGCCTGAGGTTTGGGAACGAACCAAGGATGGCGAGGAGAGGTGGGCGTGGGGAAGAGTTGAGGTAACATGAGAATCAGAGAAGAGATTGGAACGGAATCTAGAGCTGTTGGCCTAGGCAAGGAGCAGTATGGCAGAGTGAGGGAAAAGCAGAACACAACATAGAATTGGGATGCTTCATCTCGTTATGCTGACGCGACATGAAAGAAGCAAAACGCTTTGCAAGAAATTTCAAATGCAAGCAATTTTCAAGCAAGTAGATGCAATCAGATTTTCGAGCAGCTTTACACGCAAGATGACTTTTAAGCATGCAAACTTACACTCAAGGTAATTTTGCAAGGAACTCTACACGCAAGAAGCTTTTTAAGCAGAAACAAGGGACGGGTCCGAACCGATCATGCATTTGGTCCGATTAGAGCGGTGAGTTCCGATATCACCTCGCCGCCAATAGTCGGTTCGGACGGAATGAGCCCATTCGAATCCAAACCAAATTTGATTGGCACGGACTCTTTCCAGCCTGTCACCTCCGTGTCACACGGTGCGCAGCACCAATTCCAATCGCCGATACGAAGTGAAATGTCCAGCTTTCAACCCAAATGAAGAAGATGATTGGTCAGACATCTCTCCCCAATCACCAACCTAATCTCAACCTTCAAACCAATCACGTCCCGCGAAAGAAGCCAGCCACTCGGCCTTATCCCCAATCTCAACCACAGCCCTCAATTCCTGGCCCTCTACAAACTCAGTTTCGCCTTCTTTCCACGTTACAAACTTCGCCTTGCTGCTCATTTCTTCAATGAGCACTTACAGCGCAATATCCAACCCATACTTTTTTGTAGATAGTAATGTAATTTTTTCTCGCTGGTAGTCTTTATCACGGCGCGCGGCAAGAACTGTTTATCCTGACTGGTTTGGTGGAAACGCATTCTTTTATTTTAAATATCCCTCGAGGCGCTCGACACTGCAGGCGAGAGCACCTCTGCAGGTTTTTGTCAATGAAAGTGCGCACTGCAGCAGGTGCTGGCATCTGCTGGTGCGCGCATCTGTAGGTGCGCGCCTCTGCAGGGACGCGCCTGCATGGCGCCCTGCAGGTGCGCGCCCTCTGCATTTTTTTTCTGCGTGGACCCCTTTTGGACTCATTTCGGACTCACGAAGGAACCTCGAAAATGTTTGGAATTGACCACGCATTGATTCAGAAACGAATTCCTTTTTCTGATGCTCGGAGACTCACGAAGGAACCTCTGAAATGCTTTGAAATTGACCATGCATTGAATTAGAAACGAATCCCTTTTTCTGGTGCTCGAAGATACCAACAAGACCCAGAAAGGACTCCAATTGGCAGGGTGATACTAACCCTCGGAGGGAGACGAGGCGAGCAGGTGGAACGAGGCGTAGAGGAGCATCGCGGAAAAGGCAAGGGCAAAATGTCACGGAAACGTGGCATTATTTCTTCATCACAAAAAGCCCGGTACAGGGTTGGAGGATCTGAGGGAGGCGTTCGATAAATTTTCCCCTCTCGGATTTCCAATTGATTTCTGACTGAATTTGTTGGATTCCGTACGGAAATCAGTCAGCCCGGGCCGTCCACGCAGCGGTTCACGGCGACCACTCGGTTTGAGACGCGATTCCATAGCACGAGCACGAGAGAGCTCACTCGAGTATCTACGGCCAAAGAATGTCTTGAGATTGCTACTGAATATCACGTATGCGCTCACCTTGTTGATGACGATCAAGCACAGCACGAGAATAAGAGCCAGAAGCCCCGCCGCGCAGCGGACGATCCACGGCCGCCATTTCACCGCACTTGCCGCCTCGCCTTTCTCGCATTCAGGCACCTCGTAACCCACGCCGTGGGAAGGCAAAGTGTCCGCCGCTTGTCGTGCGGCTTTTGATCCTGCCTTATCATCGTGTGCGCCATGCGCAGTTCCCAGCCTCCTCAGCCAGCTCAGCAGAATGCTCGAAAAAATCCCGATCATTTTCTGCTCAGAGCAAAGCATCGCAGTTACTAAAAAGCACAAAAGCATTGCGCGCGCGCTCCTCAAAACATTGTTTCGACTTCCAATTGTTGAGCGTCTCATCGCGATCCCCAGTGCGAGACTGGGCCCATGATTCAAGTGAGGCATGGCCGCAGGCAGCTCATGAAACACAGTTGCAATTCTGGAACGCACAGCATCGTAGTCAACCACTGCCCTTAGGGCGTGGCGTCCGACGCTGATGATGGTTCGACGAGAGCTCGACACAGTCCCCCCCACCAGCCGACTTTGATTGGGCAGTCAATGCTACAGGCGGAGATTCATACTCAATATTGACACCAGCCTCATTATAGCCCAGGAATGTATTGAAATGGAAATGCACGGCGTATATTTTATGAAACTAACTAACCCTTTGCGGATAATGTCACTAATTCACGCCCACTGTAGTTTTTTTTTTTTTTTTTTGTTCAAACGTCCAGGTTGGAAAACAAAATCAATCTCTCTCTCTCTCTCTCTCTCTCTCTCTCTCTCTCTCTCTCTCTCTCTCTCTCTCTCTCTCTCTCTCTCTCTCTCTCTCTCTCTCTCTCTCTCTCTCTCTCTCTCTCTCTCTCTCTTTCAAGCAGTCATGCATTTATGTTGTTTATAAGGTACAAGCATGCAAGTGGCAGCGCTAGACAGATAGGTTGTCCTAGGTATGTAGGCTAGGTGGTAAAACATGCAGACAAATCTCATGCCTACACCTGCAGAGCCCAGCCAGCCTGAGTGGCCCATACGTTGCCACCCTCTTTTGCATGTCACCCTTGGAATCTACCTTCTTCTAGCAGCCCTCATCGCCCTTCCCATGCCACTCTGACGCAAAACCTTCAGCCGCCTACATTCCTCCTAGGCCATCGTCCAGCATCTGCCACAAGTCCCCTAGGCTCGGCTCCCAGGGGTCCGTTGGGGCCTGGGGGTAGGCCGCCTCTGCTGCCATATTCGACTTGTTCAGGAAGGATATTGCTTGGGAGCGCTGCAGCATAACTGACCATCGCTGCCTGTAGTGGGCAGTGAGACGGCTGGCGGTTGTGGTGAGGGGGGCCTGGCGGAACTTCTTCTTAGCTGCTGCCGTTGCCAGGAGCCGCAAGAACTGCACCGTGTCCGCGGCCAGCGCCCCATACGTCTCGACTGCTAGCCCAAAAAACCCCACGTAGTCCGGCCGTCCCTCATACAGCCTGTGTTTCTTCTCTGAGGCCTCCTTGGCTGCCCACCCCGGCGGCTTCCCTGCTCTGGTGTCTCTCCTCTGTAGTACCGGGTCGGTCACTGTCACGTCAGTAGCCCACGTCTCTGCCGAGACTCTATCCTGGAATGCAAGGTCCGCCCTCTTGCGGACGGCGGGTGGGGAGAAAGCCGAGGTCTCATGGAAGGTGTTGAAGCCTGCCTCCCTCGCCATCCTTAGTGCCGCATAAACCAGGCTGTTGTGTGTTCTAACCACATCCCCACCTTCCCCACAGCGCAGCAGGTGGTTCGGCAGGCTGGTGTCGTCAATGTCCCCGTTCTCTCGATTGCAGGGGCATTTCACCGTGACTGGTAGGGCGAGGCCGAGGCGGAAGCCGAGTGCCATTGAGAACTGACCAGGGGATAATGTAAGGTCAGCCCTCGTTTGTATCACGTGCAACCAGTCCCCTGCCCCCGTGCCCTTCAGGCTCACCAGCCGCACCCCATGCCCACAATCTGCGCCCGGCCTATCAATGACGGTGTCAGCTAGCAGCTCCGCTGCCCGTCGCTCGTTGATGTGCTTTGATAGCAGTAGCTGCAGGTTGTCCTGTCCAGGCGGGCCCTCCCTGAAGGCATGAAGCGCCACCTTAGCCTCGGCTGGAAGGCCTTCTTCAAGAGAGGCTAACCTATTCACAGCTGGCGGCAGTGGGGTCCAGGTGTGGGATAGCCTCGCTGCTGCCCTACTCTGTTGGTGAATCTCGGGCAGGCTCATCTGCCTTAGGAGCTGCTGTGCTGCCGTCACCGACGCTATATATGCCGCTGGGGCCTCCGAGGTAGGATCGATGATGCTGAGGCCCCCCAAACGGACGGGCAGCGTCGCCTGCCTCCAAAGGAGGCTCTGTTCTAGTTCAGCGGTAGGGATGCGAAGCTTGGCTGCTGCTATGGCCGCTCCCAGTAGTGACTCACTCCAAGCCCTCCACTCCTCCGGCTCCAGTGCCTCCCTCGGTGTAGTCCTGAGCATGTACGAAATTCTGCGGGAGATGCTGCGGGAGAGGAGGAGGAGGGCTCCCTGGGGATGCAGCTGTGCGATCAGGGGTACCGGTGTTGAAGCCTTGAAGAGTGCGGCACGGACCTGGTCAGTGCAGTAGGCCGGCGTGCCCACCGGGCTGCCAAGAACCCGAATGCCGTTTCGGTTCGGTGCTAGTCCATGCGGTAACTCTGCCGCTCCTCCCTCTTCTGCTGATCGCACCCATGCTGGACTTCTCGATGTTGCAGCGGAGGCCGCATTTTGCCAATTCCTCTACGATAGTGTTGAAGGCCGTGAGCGCCTTCTCCTTCGGTCCCACAATCGTGATGTCGTCCGCGTAGGCGACAATTGCGGCTTCGGGGACTAGTGTCGCGGCACGCAGAAGGGTGGGCTGGATTGCGGCAGCAAATAGTAGCGGGCCGAGCGGGTCCCCTTGCCGTACACCTCTGGAGCTACAGATGTGGTCAACCCCCAGCCTTGGGTCGATGAGCAGTCGCGACGGGCTATCGTATAGCGTTCCTACTAGCGGCAGCAGCTGGTGTAAGTTGGATTGGGTTAACGCCGAGAAAAAGGCTGCCCGTTCGACGCTATTGAAAGCATTTTCGATGTCCAGCTCTAACGCGATGCGTTCGTCCTGTTCCTCCATCAGCGTTCGGACTGTGTGGATAACGCACTCGGCTCCTCCCGTTACTGAGACGCCATACTGAACCGGCAGGAAGAATTCGCGAATGCTAGGTGCGAGCTCGCGGAGTGCTGCCTTTGCAGCCACTCTTAGTAGGGCTTCCCCGATCGCGATCGGACGTACGCCTCCATCTGGTTTTGCTAGCGCGATTAATCTGGACGGCAGAATAAGCTCGCAGACTTCCCTCGATTGTTTCCCGTTTAGGAGGTGGCGAATGACAGAAGTGAGGAGAATCCGCACTTCTTCACTGCTGAGTGCTGGATCCTTGAGATGCTCAAAACAAATCCCAGACGGGCCTGCTCCCACCCCATTTGGGCATCGCTGCAGTATTTCGCGAAGGTCATCCGGTGTCACATTTAGTGACGAAATCGTTTGGCTGGTGACCCATCCGGGAAGCGGGATTTCTGCTTCGGGGTGTTTCGCCTGCAGAGCTGCGAGGGTCGCGGGCGTCGCTTCGGCGAGTGGAGTAGATTGTAACGCTGCAACCGCTTTGGACAGGTTCCCTTTTTTAATCAAACCCTCAGCCCTGGCTGATGTCTTCTCGGGCCTTCTGTATCAGGGATGACACATGCCTCGTTGTACAGGTCTGCCCAAGCCCCCAGCATGAAGTGGTGCAATCTTGTCTCGATTCCAAGCCACCTGCTCCCTTCCACAGGTTCGGGCAGGGGGCGGAGGGTCAGCCTCGGCAGATATTGCAGGATTGCCCAGGCACCTGCGCAGTCCGGATTGTTCGCGAGTCGCAGGAGAGGTGTGAGCAGACACATTGTATAGCTTTCTAGAATCTTGGGTGGTAACCGGCGGACAAGGAAAGGCTGATCACTTCGCTGCAGCGGCGTAATGTCCCATCCACTCGCCAGCTGCCAGATGTTGTTATCTCTCGCCAGGTCAGCATGTGACTTCTCGCTTGGTGCCACCGGGGCATTTCCCGCTAATCCTGCTGATCCAGCTCCCAGGTTACTGTGCTCATCCCGTCCACCCGTAACCCCTCCGTCACCTGCACCCCGAACTCTGCCAGGCAGAATGTCCCTCGTCGTCGTCCGATCCTACGCTCTCAGGCGATTGGGAACGAGTGGGTATAAACTCACTCCCATCCTCCGAGTGGTCAGAAGTAGCCGCGTTCCCATTCGCTGGGATTTGCTGCTGTTCTGGACGCCCGTGCCTCTCTCGCCACGTGCCACTCCTGGCTATCGCCGCTTCCCCCCCCCAGTGTCGCAGCTTGCCCTCCTCCCGCTCTTCCCCGTCCGCCTGCTCTCCCGCGGGTCGACCCGGTGTTGCCCGCTGTTCCACCGCCTCGAGGTATTCCCCACGCGCTCTGGCGTCCCCGACCTGCCGGCACCCAGGGTGTCGTAGGCGCCGCCGATCCCGCGCCTGTCGGTCTGCCCCAGACAATACCCCGCCCGCGAGCCTCGCTCCGCGTTTCACGGTGGGTCGTTTGGGCTGGAGTCGCCGTTTCCGTTCGTCGCACTGATGGTGCCTCAGCTGTCCCACTTCGCAGCTGCGGATCTAGTGGTTCACCTGCCTCCCCTCTGGTCCCCTGTGCTTCCCCTGGTGCAGATGTCGACAAACGCCCTTGCGCTCGTGGCGACTGCTCTTGCCGAAGCCAGCCCAGGAGGGGTCCCGGGCGACCAGGCGCCAGCCCTGCTCCGAGCCGCCTCGGTGCTGGCCGGGCGCGCGTCCTCACGATCCTCTCACAAGCGACGTGAGCGCCGCTGCGGCTCTCGGGAGCCCGTGTTTCAGTCTCCTCCTGGGCGTGCTCCAGCGTGTCTCCGTCCCCGTCAGCAGCAACCCTTCCGGCGGACGAAGCGCCAATCCGGTCGGCCGCCGCGTCCCGGGCTTCGTGGTGCAACGGCGAGTCTGCCGCAGCAGTGGTCCCACTCAACTCCGGTTCCGCCCACCCCTCCGGCCGTCGCCGTTCCGTCGGCGGCTCCTCCTCTCGCGACACCGTCTCTGCCCCCGGGATCTGTGGCTCCGCCGCATCCGCCTCCTCCGCCTCCTCAGCCTGCTGCCCCTCCCCCTGCGCCACCAATCCCTCCGGCGCAGTATCCTCAGTTCTTTGTGGGGGGGAGGCAAGTCCCGATCCCGTGGGAAGCGTTGGGGCTGCAGGCTCCGTCTGTTGCTCCTGGGCCTGCTCCCACCCTCGATGAACGGTGGAGTTCGTGGGTTGAGAACCCCCCGGTGGATCGGCTGCTCCGCGTCAAGCGGCGCGTAACAACCGTGGGGATTTGCCAGGATCACCTGTCGACTGTTCTGGATCAGCTGCACTCCTGCCTGAAGCGACATAGTGTGGGGTCCCTCGAGATGCAGAAGGGCGAGAAGGAGTGTGTTGTTGCCGCGGCGACTGAGATGCTGCTCTCCCTTCCCCACGTAGGGCTTGAGATGGGCGCCCCCGGGATCTCCCGTAGTCCTGGTCCGACTGCCTTGCGGCGGTTGATCTCTGCCGCCCGCCATTCCCCGCTTGACCTGTTACCGGCCGCCGCGTCTGTGTTGCGCTGGATGGACGGGAGGCTGGTGTGGATTTTGAGCGAGTAGCATCCGCTTTCCCTTTGCCCGCGTCCGTTCTTGGGCTTCCCCATGGCGGGACTCCCTCGCCAGGGGGTGGTGTTCTTGTTCAGCCTTGCTAGTGGCCCATGATGTACCTCCTTTCTGATGTATATCTTGCGTTGCTCTCTCCTTGCCACCCCCTACGCGCGGCCGAAGGCCGCGCAGGCGAGCGACGGTCGCTGAAGGCGGCCGGCGTGAGCCGCCGGATTTGGAGAGTGAACCTAACTCACCAGTGAATAATGAGCTCCTAAGCCTAGATCCAAGGCCTTTTATACTAGGGAAAGAGTCCTAGAAATGGCTAAGGACTAGATCCTAGAGAAAAGAGGCCTAGAAATGGCTAAGGACAAAGACTATGCCTCTCTCTCTCTAATGGTCCGTGCATTGATATAGCCAAAGGGTACATTCAAGCATAGCCACTACTAGGATGGTAAGATAAACAAGAAAACAACTGTCAAGCAACTCATAGGCACTTCCCTACACCTCCATTAGAGGCTCTAGCACAACGCAGCAGTCCCCAAGGTGGAGCTCGGACTGCACTCCCCCCACTGGGGGGTTTTCTGCAACTGCCGCCAGGTTGGACTTAATAAGGTAACCCACTGATTGGGCTCTCTGCAGAGCCACTGACCACCGCTGCCGGAAGAGGTGGAGGAACCTAGCTGCATGAAATGACTTGGGTTGGGCGCTGAAATAGCGCCTAGCAGCCGTGTCCGCCAAGAGCTTCAGGAACTGTGGTACTTCGGCGCATGGGCAGCCGTACGTCTCAACCGCCTGAGGGAAAAAGCCAACGGTGTCAGGGCGGTTGGCGTAATGGCCAATCTTCTTGTCCGCTGCCTCCCTTGCTGCCCATCCCCTCCCCTTTGTGGCATTCGGATCCCGGGTGCTGATGGGGTCCGTGATGGTGACGTCACACACATAGAGTGCCCCTGAGCTCCGGTCACGCATCGTGAAATCCGCCGTCTGTTCTTCAATTGGGCAGAATGCAGCTGATTCCCTGTGAACTATGAAGCCTGCGTCTTGTGCCATCGTGATACACGCGTCCCTTAGTTCATTGTGGGTGTTGATCCTATGCTTGCCGGTGCCGCAGCGTAGCAGGTGGTTTGGCAGCCGGGGGTCCTTGATTTCAACGTGCTTCGAGCAGTCGCAGTGCTTGGGTGTGGAGAAGGGCAGCCCCAGCCTAAAGCGGACCGCGTTGGCAAAGTGCTCTGGCCCCACCCGGCGGTGTGCTTCCTTCGGGATTGCCGTCAGCCAGTCACCGCTACCGTAACCAGTCAGGGAGTAGTATCTCTGTGTGTGGCCAGACAGGGGGTTCAGTCGCATCAGCCGCGTGGCTTCCACCTGTTGAGCGTATCTGCTTCCCTGTACTCGAACACCGAGCTCATGCTGCAGCTTCAGTCCCGATGGCTCCAGTCTCTCCTTATCGAGTATTTCTCTGGCCTCCTGTGGCAGTGCTGCTTCACATTCTTGCAGCCATGAATGCAAGGCTGTATCCGTGTCCCGTGGAACCAGCACGTGGTCCCTGGCCGCCCCCAAGGCGTCTCCTGCCTTCAGTGGTAAGCCGCCAAGGAGTTGGGCTGTTTGGGTGAAACTGGCCAGAATACCGTAGGTCCCTTCTATCGTGGGATCGCTGAGGCCCAACCCGCCTAGTGATGGTGGGAGAGATGACTGTTCCCATACCCGAGATTGTTCTTCCCCATCTGAAGGGACACGGATGCCGCAGGCTGTCAGGCGTGTGGCTAGCAGGTCTGTCCCCCACTATGACCAGGTGAGGCGA